AAGGAAAAAAAGTCAGAATTGTGAGATAAAAAGTCGCAATAACCTTTTTTTATTTTTTATTCAGTGGCGGAAACGGGCTTCCATATTTTACTATATTTAATAAATAAATATTAATGTTTTTATTGTAATTTTGATTTTATTGTATTTTTGAGCATAAGAAACTGCTTTCAAAAACATTTTTAAAAAATTTCTTTTTTACAGTAGCATATGTGGGGGGGAAATCCATGTGAAATATGCGACCTAGGAGACTGTAACATGTCATCTTAATCATTTGTCTTCCATAGACACCTTCTGGATGAATCCTCAGTTTAAGATCAAACTGGAGGAGGAAGATGATGATCCTGATGATAATGAAGTGGGCTGCAGTGTGGTGATTGGCTTGATTCAGAAGAACCGGCGTAAGTTGAGGAAGTCTGGAGAGGACATGCACACCATTGGCTATGCCATCTACGAGGTGGGGTTGATAAGATACCAATGTTTTATGTCTCTTTTGTTGTAAATGTAATGACATAACCTGTGAAGGGCGCTGTTTATACCAATGTTCTTTTTCTTTTCATTCTAGGTGCCTCCTCAGGTGAGCACAGTGGAATAACTTTAAAATGATTTCTGAAAATTGAGATGTGGAGAATTAACATAAATGGTAATAATGAAGCATTTTAAATATATTTTGCTAAAAATACTGGTCAATATCCACCGAGAAACCGTTCAAAACCACCTAGCAACTGCCTGGCAACCACCTGTAACACCCAAGTAGCGCTGACTTTTGCTCAGGCAAACACCACTCACATTTTCTTCAGAAAATGTAGAAATCTAGCTTATTCTTCCTCTGGTTCTTGATCACCTCATTGCAGTTCCATGGGCAAAAGGACGTTCATCTGGATAAGAACTATTTCCTGACCCACGCTCAGAAAGCTCGATCTGAGACCTTTATCAACCTTAGAGAAGTCAGCACCCGCTTCAAACTTCCTCCTGGAGAATATCTCATCGTCCCTTCCACATTCGAACCGCACATGAATGGAGACTTCTGTGTGCGTGTGTTCTCTGAGAAACAGTCTGAGATGCAGTAAGGACTGTCTTGATTTTTTGATTGTAAATTTTCAATAGGCTCTTAATAAGACCATGTTCAAGTTACTTGTAGTGTCTTCAACATATGATCAACCAAAACTGTCTTTATTACAAGTGGTCCTAAGAAACCCGTCAAGAAATGTAGTTAGTATTTTTTTTTCTTTTTAATAATTATGTGGTCTGAAAGAAACGATCCCCAATTTATTTACTTATTTATGCAAATTATTCCTTTGTATTCAAAAAAATAGTTGTATAGTTGTAGTTATTGGAAAAAAAGTGTATATAGTTGTAGTCAATGTGTGTGTGTATATATATATATATATA